ACCGAATAGCCTGGAGGATTGAAGGAATCAAGAATAGAAGTCATTCCAAAGTCCCGTCATACCGATTGACGGTTGGGACAATCATATCCAAAGTATTCCAGACTCTTCTACAAAAGAATGAGACTGAAATACTTAGGAGGGTATATCTGTAGGCGTATAAAATTGCTTATAGGTCCCTTAACACAGCTCGGCACGGTGATTCGACAAACCAACGAACCATCGGACGATATATCAAGGCATGGGCGTTAGACCACAACAACGAAGCCAAGTGACACACGACGAAGCGGATTTACTACCAAATCAGGATCCGGACTGCCAAATCAGAATCCAGATCAATAATGAAGTTCGGATAAACCGCAAAACCGGAAAATGGCACAAAATCAAACACCGGGGGGGTTCGGCCAAAACCGAGCCACCTCTAGGTGGCTCGGTGGCCGAGCCACCAATTGGTGGCCACCTAGGTGGCCGAGCCACCTGGGCCGAGCCACCAGATCTGGGCCCAGATCTAAGCCCAGATCTGGTTTGAGGAGCCTATAAATAAACCCCCAGGCTCATTGTTTGAAGGACTTGGAACTTTTGAGGTGAAACTCTGCCGGATTGAGAACTGAACTTTGGAGCTTTGAAGACTCAAACTTTTCAGATCTGGTTCTTGGTGATCGTCCACGTCAAATAAGGTAGGAGTTCGAGAGAGATCAGATCTGAGATCCACACAGTCATCCTCCGGATCAAAACTTGGTTTTTGATCCCGAGAAGAGTATCGATTTCGCTTGGTCGATTTCGATTACTTAGGGCTATTATTTCCTTGGTGAAATAATCCCCTCGGTTGTTATTTCCTTCGTGAAATAACACCCGTCATACCGTGTAGATCCGACCGGATCAAGATCGCGCGGTGGTCCACGGATTAACCCCGGCGCAGGTGAAGAACCCACACAAGCAAGAGACCGTAAAACAGGATCTTGCGATTTTTTCGAAAGAAGGAAAGTTGTAATTTTCTCTTTTTTTTATTTTGTTGTAACCGGATCTTATAAAAAGACCGGATCTTTTGTAACCGATAAACTGTTGCTGAAGAGAACAATGACTTCAATGAAAGCAATTTTTCCCGCGAACAATATGTTTTTAAATTTTTTTAAATTAATTTATTTTCTCTATTTATTCTGTTTATGCTCTTCGCTATAGCCTTCGGTTGATCATTCTATTAATTTATTTTCTCTATTTATTCTGTTTATGCTCTTCGCTATAGCCTTCGGTTGATCATTCTGTTTGGTTTTTTTTACTTTATCGGTATCTACAGTGGGCTCACTAGCCGAATAATGATGTTGGAGTATTTTTTTTATGAAGTGGTAGGTTTTGTGATGATTAATAATTTTTATGTATAATTAAGGGTTATAGGCTATCTTAGGACTGCACCTAATCCATTTAGATATGATCCCATACATGTATAACTATATAAAATACGAGAAGATAACCTCATTTTTTCATCAATTATTGAAAGAAACTAATGTAACTTACCAATGTTCAGCTTGTTGGTTAATTCTAACAAAATAACTGGTAACGACAAATCAAGTTCAGCTTTAGAAAACATATCATAATGAGGACATATAACCTGAGTTTACCATCACAAACTAGTTGCAAATCTACATTGCAAAAATCACCATATACTACGAAGTTTTTCTTACTGGCATTTTTATCTCATATTTGAAAATTGCTTCTCAATAATTTTTTTATATTGAACTTAGTACCAATTATTAAGCAGTGCTTTTTGAAACAAAAACGTTCTGTAGTGGGTAGAAAATGATGTTTCTACCCATATCTGCATTTTTAGAAGTGAAGACATCAAGGACACTTCCTTCACCTTCAAAGGGAAGAAAGGCCCTCTGAAGGCAGCTAATTAGAGAAAGAATGGAGTATATGAAAACAATTTAAGAAATAGCTATCAAAGCTATTATTAAAGCAGTTAACTGAGGTTTAAGGTATTGGATTTAACAATAGGAAAAATATCCAAATTAATAACTGCATCATTCTTCCTAGCAAAGCTTACTATATAGCAAACTTACCCCGAGATATGTTGGACAATTCAAGATTTTCATGCGTGTTAGAGCAATTTCATATAAACTAGATCTTCCAGCATCGATGTCGAGTATACACGATGTTTTTCATGTTTCGAAGCTTAAGAAGCATTTACTTGATGAGGAACAGCAACGAGTATTAGACGCGTCGGAGATTTAACTCCATGATGATTTAACTACGATTGAGATTCATGTTCGTATTCTTGTTATGAGAAAGCAAGAGACTTATAAATAAGGTGATTACATTAGTCAAAGTCTAAATGAACCGGAAAAGAGCTAAGGAGGCTTTTTGGGAGCGCGAAGAGGATATGCATCGCGACTACCCACACCTGTTTGAACAAATAAATTAATTTGATTTTGATTTACTTATAGTTTATGAAGATTTGGATAGTCATATTTATATTTAACACTAGCATGGGGATATTAACACTTAGCTCCTAATCATTCGGAATACATGGTATATATATGGGAGGTTCCTTGTTTGGATTTTTCGCCCGACATACTAATTCCGTTTAGTTAGCGGTTAAGTGAGAGTATTCACATTCTAGATAGTTAAGTATAGATATTGCTATATTTTGTATCAAGAGGTTAATAATAATATATTATTAATCTCTAAGATAAGATACGGAATTTCGGGGACGAAATTCTTTTAAGGGGGAAGAATGTAAAACCCTGAAAATTTGAATATTTTGTGATAAATAATAATAAATTTGTTATACGTTGATAAATAACATATTGTGATGTTTGAGTATACTAGAAATTGATTTAAGATCAATTCAATGTATATATGTATATATGAGTGCAAATGCACAAAACATGCATGATGTATAAATCTAGAAAATAATAATCAGTGGAGAGATTTTGTATTTTACACACTGATACAATATGAATATGGAAAATTTTAAAAGACTAAAGTTGTAGGTCTCTTCAGAATATTTCCAATTAATCTTTAATCACCTCATTCCGAGGTCAGATGCGAATGTTACAGCCAAAAAACCGAAGAATATGTTTCTAGTCAGACTGGGTTTCCAGTTTTAGGTATTGGGCTGTATTTATTCGGGATTTTCTGCCATATATATACATATTTATACATAAAAACACATCTTCTCTTCTGTGTTCCAAACACTAGCAGCCCCTCTCCTCCTCTCTCAAACCCTATCCCTAAATTGAGTTCTCGGGAGAGTTTCATAAGGCGAAAAGCAAGGAGAAGGTGAGATTTGTGGCGTTTGGCATCGAGGGATTGATTGCTAATTGTTTCAGGGGGTTGTGCACATGATAAGGTAAGATTATCTGTATTCAAATCCTTCCCTTAATAAAGATTAGACTTTTAATGGTTAAAGTGATATTTTTCATGGTAAAGTTTAACCCGACATGATAAAATTTAATTTTTTTTATGATAATTCTTTAAACAATGATAGATCTATAGTAATTCCTTGCTGTTTATGATAGAAATATGATCATGATCATTAGGGTTATTCATAATTTTGTTTTTAATTTATTAATTATGATTAAATCATGTTTAAACCCTAATTTAGAAATTAAATGATATTTTAGGTTGATTAGAGATGCTTAAAACCCTAGGTTTGGGGTAAAACAAGATTTGAAAATGTGGAAAAACAATTGTTACATCGGTTTCATGTTTCATACAAGTATATTTATGTTAATTTTGTCGATAACTAGGGTTCTTTTAAAGAATTTTATTATTTGGGTTGTAAAACTTGATTAGGTTAAATCAAGTTTAAGTAAATCATGAGATATTTTTCTGATATGTAGAAATAAAGTTTTCATCCTGTCATATGATTTATAAATGACAAAATTCATGTTTTTGATGAGTAAAAATTTCTGCAAGTTCAAAACCTAAAAACCTATTATGCTTCTGCACGGTTGATCACGGTGGACGCAACAGTCGACCGCTGGACGATATTTTATGCAATGTCTTTCTGCTCATTTTACGGTCAACCGCGGTGCTCGCGATGGTTGACCACTTTACCTGTTTGTGAATGTGCATGTTGTTTACATGCGTTATGTGACCGGCGAGTTGTCTAGGTTATCTGGTATTTTAATACACTATAAATTGTGTATTCTACACATGAGTTGATTATGGACATGAATTTAGGATTCACTCACTGAGGCACGAGTGTGAATAGTACATATGCATTTTACTTACATCATTTATTTGTATTACGCTCATCATATGCAGTACTCGTATTGGAACATTTATATATTGTGGCCCATGTGTTGGACCTTAATCATATGCAGACCTCGTGTTGGATATTTATCTATTGCGGCCCTTGTGTTGGACCTTAATCATATGTAGTCCTCGTGTTGGACATTTACCTATTGCGGCCCATGTGTTGGACCTTAACCATATGTAGTCCTCGTGTCGGACATTTACCTATTACGATCCATGTGTTGGACCTTAATTGTATGTCATCCTCGTGTTGGACATTTATCTATTGTAGTCCATGAGTTGGACATTCATCATATATAGTCCATGTGTTGGACACATACTCGAGTTGTCTTATCTAATATGTAGAAGGTGAAGTCCATGTGTTGGACACGTATCTGATATCTGTTAGGACACCTTTGATATGATTTAAGATGGAGTTGTCTTTTCTTATTGCTCCATGTAGTAGCTTTTGGATTTGGTATTTATCTATTCACAATTTGAGCTAACGGGGTATTCGACATACCTATGCTCGTGTTGTGGATTTCTAAATATCAACATCCATTTATTTCAGAGTAGATGATTGCTTATATGTATGTATTAACAAGTATTTTCCTTATATACGGGGAAAATGATCTAGGTAGGCTATGCTTAATAGATAGAGCATCCACTTCATTTAGTAGCCATTCCCCGGGGGCGAATGAAGGTAATCTTGCTAGCGCTCTGATGCTCTTATTGTTGTTTTTTTTTTCTATTTTAACTTTCAGGTGGCTCAGAGCATCGGAAGGCCGCAGAATGACGGAGTTATTACATTGTCGTCGTGACATGAGTTACTAGTAGAGATTCCACAGTAGAGTTATTTCCATTCGGACATTAGAGTTTTATATCATATTTTGTAAAGGCTATGAGCCTTAGTTACATTTTTAGCTATTTCATGTCGAGATATATTTATTTATTTCGGATGTCGGATGTATTCCAGATTGTTCACTGAGACGTGATTTATTTATGAGATACTCCTTTCTATTGTTAGACCCTAGAGGGGGGGTGATTAGGGTCTTATGCTAATCTAATCCGATTTTATGCCAATTAAAACTAATTAATAAGTTATCCTAGCAAGTATAGAATACAACAAGATACGTAAGCTAGGATAAGCAATATGAACAAATGAATATATCCTATCAATGAGATATTACAAATATATGAGCAAGGATATATGAACTAACACAAGGGTAAAATAAACAATCTACACAAGTGATAGGGTAATATGATGAGCAATACACAAAGGCGATATAAGATATAAAAATAAGAATAAGAACGCCAATGCAATCACAAACAAAATGATATGTTTACGAGGTTCGGTCCCCACGACCTACGTCCCCGCTCCTCACCTCGAGGAGATCTCTACTATCACAACCGGGTTTTCTACGTTCACCCGAACAACGTTTACACCTCACAATACAATCACTATGTAATCACACATCACACACTAAGTGTTGGTCCTAGCCCGTGTCCTCCTCCTCAAGTGCTCGGTTACAACCTCTCCCTAGGCACGTCAACCGACGCCACTCCTCTTGGATTCGACCCCGTCTCTCACCACACACTTCTCTCGGTGTACAAGTGTATTACAAGTGAATCCTCACAATAAGCACAATATAAATCAATTTGATTGTTCTCTAAACAAGGTGAGAACTCAATTAAACACAACTCTATGTCACACTATCCCACAACCTAATTATATAATGTATGCAAATACAATAAGCTCAATAGGTTGTGTGTGAACAAAGAGGGAAAACAATATAAACTCAATATAAAATCTAGCTTATGCAATTAAGAACAAAACTTATAAAATGCTAGAATTGAGTTTAAGGAAACTTCTCTATAGATGACAAGAGAGAGGGAGAAGAGTGATTGCTCAAACACCAAATGATGATCTCCACTTGCTCTTGTGAAATTGTCTTCACAAACCAAAACACTCAAATGCTTAAAAGCTTCTTAAACCAAACTTAAACAAACACTAAACAAGTTTAAACCCTTGTTAAACTATTTTAAAACATTCTCATGTATGTTGAAAGAAAACAACAAAGGGGTATTTATACCCACTCCAAAACTCAGCCAAAAACTCAAAACAGAAAGACCAAAAGCCCCCTAGAAAAACCAGCTCAGAAATAGCCGTTGAAGTCTAACGGCTCTATTGTCGGTCGATGAGAGCAAAAACACGAGGAAAACATTCTGGACCATCGTCGGTCGACCGGTGCGGTCGACCGATGGAGTTTTTCGGCCCAGTGAACTTTTGAACTCAGGTTCGGTCGACCGGTGCGGTCGACCGAATACTGATACTTCTGAAAAACAGTTTTGAAAGCTGTATATCTAATTTTCAAACACTGTTTAAAAATATCAAATAAATTCCAAAAAATGTAAAACTTTGGGGAATGATTGTAGACATGATAATAAACATGCTACAACCAACTTTCGAAAAAGGACTTCCCAAATGAAAAATATCATCATTTTGCAAGATAGTCCAAAACACGAAAATGTAAACATGTGAATTTTGACATTTTGGCTAAACCAACTTTTGAAACTTTACAAAATGATTTTATAGACTTGAAGAAATATGTAAACTATTGTTATGAAGTCTATAAACAATGAATGTAGTGTTTTATCAAAATACACATATAATGCACTAAAACATGATTTCATTTAACTAACTAAAATTGATATTGATGAAATCATATATATGCATATGAGTATGAAACAAAAATATGTTTTCTAATTATATTCAATTGTTTCATAGTAAAACTTGAAAACTATCAAACCAAAACGTGTATGTGTGTATATGATTGAGCTTAAAGTACTAGCACACATAATATAAATTCCTAAACTAAATTACCCAAGCAATGATCTTGATCTTCAATAAGCTTGACTTGGTAATCTCACGGATGAAGCTTGAACTTGGATCTTGAACTTTGAATAGCAAGGCTTCACCGACATTCCGCCAACCTCCTTTAGATATCATCGTTGAAGCTCTATTCCATCCATCCTCCAACAACGTTGTTTGTCTACAAAACATAGGAATGCACAAACACTAGACAAATAACATTAGTAATAAATTATTTGTTAAACATCATCAAAATAAGAAGGCCAACATCTATATCATGTCTGTTGTAGTTATTTCCTTTCTTTTATCTGTTTTGTACCTACACTTTACATTGATTCCACTAGAGAATATTACTGTGACTGGTGAAACTTGTTGTTGCACAGTGCGGGTGAATGACAGGTTTGATATCTCCGGGTTCACCTTGGACTGCAGCCATGTGTGAAAACAGGGGCGTCACACGAACTCATGCAAAGCTTAGGTGACGAAACAGGTCACGGACTAAGGTGACTACACGAATTCACTTTAGCCCAACAAACTAACCCCAGTGACTACACGAATTTACTGGCGCAAGCCTGGAAGATACATCAACAGCAACATCCGATCACTTGAACAAAGATTTTCCCATCCCAACTCTTCTCGTTTTTCTAAGTCAACAATCAAAGTCCACAATATCTCTTGTTCACCACCTAAATTCAGTCAACGTACCCACACATATTACTAGGTCTGTTCATGATGCACGAGGGCACTAAGTTACGAACTACTAAGGATTCTAAAATACAACAAGGAACAATAAATAAGTCTAACTGATTCTATGTAGTAACATGATGACAAGTCAAATACATTAAAATAAATCGCAAAACATAAAATGTAATTATGAACAGTAAAATCATGCATGTAGTTCGGTTTTATTAATATCTTGTTATTTGAACTTCTAAACTACTCATAAAAATTATCATCAACTAAATAACATCTAATATAACTACGGTTAGAAAGGAGATTAAAAACCGTGATTGTTTTGTACATGAAATATCACAGTCTACAATCACCAAACACAAAATCATAAATTAATTTAATCCAAAATAAATAATTTTTTTCCAAATAAATTCTTTTAAATCATAATAATTATTCTATAATAATCTTTTCTCAAAATAATTTAACAATTCAAAACAACCACCTTTTCCAAATAATCTCTTTTCTCATCATAAATATTTTAAAAATATCTCAAAATAACCACTTTTACACAAAATAATTATTCCTTTAAATTACTTATCATAATATTATTATTAATATTAACCACCCACAAGCCCACACAGATAATAACAATTTTCATATGGTAACATAATCAAATCACAGTCAAATCGAAGCATATAATTAATTCATATTATATCTAAAAATTGAAACGACAAGTTGAAGAATATAGGCAAATATAATATCATAATAAATAAACAATCGGGAACAGGGATCTTGCCTACGAGGCCAATGAGCCTGTGGACGAAGCAGCGGCACAATTTCTTGCTATTTGTTGTTCGGCGACGCGTGCAGTAGGGAGGATAGCTGGAGTTGGTGAAGGTCGTTGTCGTGGCAGCGGTGGTCGGAAGCTCGATGAGAAGCGGACGTCGGTGAGGCACAGAGGGGCTGTCAGACATCGTCGATACTCTGATATCAGGAGGCATCGATAACGAGGGAACTGGGCGGCAATTTGATCTGTGGGCGATAGAGGAGTGGGGTAACGGTGGAGGCGGAACAACGACTTGGGGTGGCAGGCCAAGCGGCTACCACGGTCCGTTAGAGGCGGGTGAACCCGAGTGCGGCCACGGGTAGCAGGGGTGCAGGCGAGAGTAGGGGATGAGGTGCGGTGATGGTATCTGGAGGTCAGGCGCGAAGCCGTCGGGGGCTTACTGTTGAATATGGTTCAGGGAGCATAGGTGGCGGCTGCCTAGACGAGGCTGGCACGCGCCTCAGGTTGGAGGCCGGAGGTATGAGAGGGCAGGTCGAGTGGGGGTTAGTTTGAGTTGATGCTGTGTGCGGGATGAAGTGGGCTTGGAGGTGGATGGTGACAGTGGTGCGGAGAAGGGCTACGTGATCGGAGGTGGTGCTTGTGGCTTTTTGGTGGGCGCGGCGACAAAGGGAAGAGGGTCGCGCTGGGGAAGGGCCAGGCGGGAATGGGAAGAAAGAGAGATAGCAGAGAGAAAGGTGGGCGCGGGTTGAAGAGTCTCGGCGGTGGGAGGAGGGGCGCCGTGTTCCGGCGGCAAGAGAAGGGGCGACGCATAGGCTCGCGGAGTTGGTTGCCGGAGGCAGGGGAAGGCGGCGTGAAGAAGAAAACGAGAGAGAGAAGATAGAGTAGGGCGGCGGATTGAAAGAGAAGAGAGGAGCAGATTTACATCTATTATATATATATTTTATGATATATAATATATATATAATATATATATATATATATATATATATATATAAGAAAATTATGTTTTTGAAAAAATAATAATAATTACGTATTAAATTAAATAATTATGGGAAAATATTCTACAAAATTAAATGTACCAGTTGTACTAATGCAACCGTTAATAAGCAATAATAGAATTAATATAATAAATTTTACAATTAAATAAGAATATTTAATAAAAAAATATACTTACTTACATTTAAAATCAAATAATTATAGAAAAATTATCTACGCAATAAAACGTACCAGTTGTACTAATACGACAGATAATATGCAACAGTAAAAATAATACAACAAATTATACAATCAAACGAGAATAATTAATAAAAAATATAATTACTTAACTTTAAAAAAAATAATTATGGAAGAATTATCTATATAATAAAACGTACCAGTTGTACTAATACAACCAATAATATGCAACAGTAGAAATAATATAACAAATTATATAAATAATACATAATTAATATAATATAATGTATTATACGAAATAATACATAATAATAATA